TTAATTATAACTACTCATCCCAAAAAAGACCATGAAATAATATCAACTGCGAGGTATACTATATGTAGGAGCATCACAGACGGATATTGGCTGGTTGAATTCCCGTCAAACATACGTCGTTTATAGTTCCAGCGTAAGCACCTGGACCGGCTAGTCAGACACCATAAAATGAACGAAAATCATCAGGCACATATTTCCCTTATAAGCTGGTGGATGTTAGGGACCTGATTATAGCACAGTGGACAAGTCCGGGCAGTCATGAAAAAACATATAATATGGTGCTTTCGCCATTAACACATCATAAAGTGATTTTAATGATACAGGTAGTCTAATTGCTAGTGCTTCACTATGGGCCGTTATGCGTTTTTTGTCGCGTAAATTAGTGAAATACGTAATAAGCGTACCCTAAAAATGATTCCCTGTTCTGACTGTTATAAAAATATAAGACGTATATGCCGTGAATTTTTTTAATTTCCCCAAGATAAATAATTAACAAAAATTTTACATTCGACATAGTGCGTACTGCCTTTGTTTGTTAATTGCGTATGAAATTCTAGTTAGATACTCAAGCACGTTTAAAAGGTTTTGTAAGTTCATCATACAGCAAAATACTGTGTTTCCTTAAAGTTCCATTGAATAGCCACAGTGCCTTCAAAATGCCTCAAATTGCAAGCGATTGTTAGCTAAACTCTTGAATATCTTTACTTTTTGAATTCGATAACCATTAGGGTATGAATAAAAATTACGGTTTTTTTTAAAAATGTGGTTGCGTTTTTATTTCTGCATATGTGTGATCAGTGTATGAATAGTGCTTGTCACTGAGATAGGACGCAATTCTTATAAATATGGTTCGATTATGTCAGTGGCCAATAGGCTGGCACTAGAATATAAAAAGAAATGATTTTAGGTTTGTACTTATTGCGTTTAATGTAAACTGTCTCATCAGACCTATGACGCAGCCTCGTTTGAAGTGTTTTTAATGATAAGACACAACTACCTCTACAAACATCTATTAGTTTTAATGCCGACGGCGCAGCATTAAGACTAAAACAGTGAAACATACCTAGTACTTTGTTATCGGTGTAAATATATAGTTTATAAGATGTGTCCATGCATGATTCGTAATACGGCGGAAAACATACTCGGCATTTAGAACTAAAAGTCAACAATGATTCTTATTTAGTCTCTACTTTTTGACTCTGTTCTCTGGAGAACATATTACTCAAATTCCCGATAAAAAAGCACTATCTTTTGGTGGAATGTTGGATTCTAACCGTTCTTTGTTGGAGAGTAGGCAAACCATTTCTTGCACTTTAGAAAAAAAGAGGCGCATGGTTCCTAGATGTTTGTACATATATGAAGTAAAATCATTTGCGCATTTATTAGATATTTTAGATTTTCAAGTAGCGAATGTACTGCGCCTCATTATAGTATTAAAAGAATAAACAAAATGCATTACTCTAACGAGCCAGTGTTCACAAACATTGCACAAATTAAGAAGCATGATAATCCTGTAAGCGAGAAATCATACTACACTCTGAAAACGACGTATGGCAGCAAAGCTGTGTTTTATTAATTTGGGACTTTTGTTCACTTGAGATAAAATGGATCCAAGCTGGTCTCAGGAAACCACAGCCTTGAACAAATATAAGAAGAATAGTACAATAAGACAGAAACCGAGTGGATCATTAATTGACAAGCATTCGTGTCTTCAACAAGATTCATTTTGCTGATTTTTGAACTACTCACATACAGACTGTACATTTTCTCACGTTATCAAAGTAGCCAGAGGCTAAAAACAACATATATCAATGTTAATCCACAATCCTCAGAAAAAATACCGTTTGTCTTTTACAGATTTGCATGCGTGCATGCATGTGCTTTGAAAGACAAAATCCTAAAATGTACACACCACTCACTCTCCAGATGCAAATTATGAACAGGGCGACTGATTTCCTCATTCGAACAGTACGATGTTATCCTTTAAATAAAAAAGTTTGGCTAATTGTAACCTATATGTTAAGCTCATACCTTAACTAGCATTTCTGTGTCGAAAACCATGTGCAAACAGCTAAATATATTTAGCGTTTGAAAGACTTATTCAGGTGATTCCAAATTGATGTTTTATTTGTCAAGACAAACCTAGACCGTAAGGTTAAAAACAACAATTCGCACTTCAACCTATACAGACATACGGGAAATTATTCAGCGAAATATAATAGGCTTGTTGAGTGTCCAATCAAATGCGAGCACATTTTGTACCTTCCTTTGTGGTTAAGATATTAGGGCATTTCCGCGAAGGCGAAGCAAAGAGCGAAAGATGTCAGAAATGTGAAAATACTTTTTTTCCAAAACACCATCACTTGAGATTTTACCTAACCCTTTTTTAAACGCAATGGAGAATTATACAGTGCAATCCGATCCTCCGCAAGTCAATCCAGAATTGACTTTACGATCGTCTTACGCCATGATTGGAGTTCTGAGCGTATTCTACGCAGCCATGTTCATTGCGGGATTAATTGGTAACTTCGCAGTCCTCTTGATTGTCCTCCGCAATCGTCATATGCGTTCCGTTACCAACATATTCATCTGCAATCTTAGCGCCGCGGACCTCCTCGTTACCATATTCGTTGAGCCTTTGACCCTCCTTCAGAACATCTTTATAGGTAATGCTTTAAAATAAGGTTGAATCTATTCCTGATTAATTTAATGTTGGAGGAGGATCTAAGGCTTTGCTAGGTACATATGATTCCTTGCTGCTCTAAATAAATATATGTCGAATTTGATAAGTCATATTTTAAAACGGCGTAGTAAAGTGTCCTAAACAATTTAGTTAACGTACCGCAAAGTACCGGTATGCGTTTAATGCATTTTTAAATTTCAATTACCTGTCGTGTATGCATTGAGGACATTTTACGAAAAAGCTTGATTTTGTTAAGCCGTTGTTTTAGAGCAATACTTGATATCATTTTTACTTTTGTGTGTAAACAGTACTAGACTTGAAGATCATAAAAGTGGTTTTTATGCCGACGTGTCCGTTTTACGAATGCACAAGCGGTTTGCGAAATTGCAAATGAACAGCCAGTTTAATAACATTAAACCTGTTGTTTTCCTTAATAGGCTATTATATATTTAGCATCTATAACCAACATCGTGTTTCCTTAAAAATTGTTGGAAAGCTGACAATGCGTTCGGTTACTAAATCTATCTCACTAACATATAGTGAAGTCAGTAATTTATGAAATGGCGTCGCCTTTGACTTATGTTGTTCTGTGAGAGCACATCTAAAAGTAATGGCAGCTTTGACATATTCCGAGGAACTGCGAGTTACTGCGAAATACATGCATTAACTATTCAAAAACATCCCACTGCAAAAAATGAAGGAAAAGTAAACGAAAACAAATAAGGATGATAGGAATATTTAAAGTTTTGAGTCATTTTCTCATACATCATATAGATAAGATGTAGTAATATACGTAAAGTCATGACCGTAAATGAGCTTTGTAGTCATGCATATAATTTTTTCCGTTATTGGGATATAATTAGTGAAATTGGCACTAAAAATCCTTTTTTGACGAAACATGCCAGTATATGTTAGGGTAATAG